CGAGCTCGCCGCTCTCGGCGTGCTTCTGCAGCCGAGCGAGAATTATCTCGTCCTCCGGTCCAGCCGGCTTAGCTGCCTCCACTCCATCCGCAGCCAGCGCGGCTTCGAGCGCCTCGCCCTGGCGCATGTGCTTCAGCAGCGCCGCGGCGATCAAGCGAACGCCCGCCTGCTGCGTCAGCTCGCCTACCAAGCAGAGTAAGGGTGGGGACGCGGCACAGCAAGCGCGCTCGATGCCACACACCCTGAGTAGGCGTACACATAACTCAAGGCCACATCCTCCCTGTCGCCCCCCCCAGCACTCCAAGGTGCCAAGAGAACAAACAAGGGCACAACAAACAACAGACGACAGGAAGTAACATGCGAGGCTAGAGCAGGCTTGCTCTACCTCTAGCAACCTCTCGCGGGCCGGCGAGGCACGGACGAGACCGTGTGTGGGGAGTGAGGTGTCTATGGACGCCCTCCTCACAGGCTAGCTGCCTACTGCTAGCCCTATCTCGCGCTCACGGGCATTGACAATAACAAGGCTGTGAATGAGCTCGGCCGCCGCTCGGCGGCGGCAAGGCGGTCCATCACGGAGCTGCTAGGAATCCAAAGTGCTTCGCTCTCTCGCTTGCTGCCCGCCTTCACACAGGTTCCGCATGGAAAGTGAGCTGGACGAGGAGGACACGGCCTGCGAGATTTGCTCGTCGCCTGAGCAGCCCGAAGGCAACGCGATGCTGCTATGCGACTCGTGCGATCGCGGATATCACCTGCTCTGCCTCTCGCCACCGCTCGAGGACGCGCCAAAGGGAAGCTGGCTGTGCCCTCGCTGCGAGCAGGCACTGCCCGACGCGCGAGTGAGCACCAGGGCGCGTGTCAGGACGCGGTGGAACGACAACGAATCGTACGTTGGTTGGATCATCGGTGCGTCGCTTCCCTCTCCATCGCTCCTCAAGAGATCGGAGCTGCAATACCTTCTCGAGGACGGCAGGGAGGAAGTGCGCAGAGAGCTGCTGGGCGGCGCGACCGGCGCAGACGGCGAGAGGGCCTACCGCGTCTTCTACACGAAGGACGACGTCCAGTGGCAGTTTGTCGACAGCGAGGTGCGGGACGGCACCACGCAGCTGCTGCGGCGCGACGAGGAGGCGACGGCCGCCGCCAGGCGCGACGCCAAGCCGCCCATCGGGCGGCGGATAGAGGTCGAGTTTCGCGGGTCGAAGCACGTGAAGGCCGGGT